AATAGGTCCCTAGTTCTAGTCTCTTCAGGGCTACGGGGAATTTTCCTAGTTGTTATCTTAGAGTCCCCATAGGATTAGTGGAGGTGCGTGCAAGCAGGTTCAGACACCCACAGTTACCAAAAAAAGTTTGTTATGAAGAGTAGGACATAGCACCTTTTGTCGATTACTGATTACCTACTACCCATCATGCTCATTTTGGTTATGTTACCTACTTCCCCACCATAACCATTACAATCTGCCCTCCAGAACGGTTCTATCGCACTCTAGAGGGATTCTATAGAATATTAGATGAGTTTTATGTGTGACCCATCTCGGGGATCTCGCTATATCTGCTACTCTGACCTAGCTAACCAGAATTCTATAATCCGTATATTCTCCTCGAAACCTAATAAAAATCTGACAAGCCAACACATTGTTGGTAACCAAAAACCAAACGAACCCAGTAAGATGTATGCATAACCGACCTCTACCCCAAAGAGTAGAACGGATTCCGTCAAGACCCCTAGCTTGTGAAAAGTGTGACAAAGAGAGAAAGTCGGATACGATAAGGTTATGAAAAGCAGTTAAGAGTAAGCAATAACGAACGAAACAGAAGCAATTACAAGACAAACATAACAATTTTCGGAAACTACACACACGTAGTCTAACTTACTAACCTTATCTCCACCTCTACCTTTCCAGCTCCCTACCTAGTACCTTCCGTATACACACTCCTCGGGTGCGTTTGGTATCCAAACAGAACAGAACAGTTGTTAAGTGTTTGGTAAGACAGAATTGGACAGGACAGAAAAGATAAAATGACCAATTTACCCCTAATGAGTTGTTTATATATTTTGATTAATTTATGTAATTTATTAAATTATAAAAAATAAATATACTTTTATAACAAAATATATCATCAAAAAGTTTTCATCAAGACGATTAAAATGACACCAAAATAAAAAGTTTATGTAGTTTCAAATTTTATTTTATACCTTTTTATTATTAATATTTAATAAATTACATAAATTAATCAAAATATAGAAACCATATAAAAATATTATCTTGAGGACAGTAAGGTGAAAGTTTGACGAGCATAAAATACAATAAATAAAATTTAAAGAAGGAATAAAATGAGAAGAGGGGGCCTATTTGATGTTTTAAAAGAAAATTAGGTTTTATTTTGAGGTTATATTGGTAAAATACAGGTTTAGTTCCACCTTGTTCCATGAGGTGGGAGTGGAACACACCTGTTCCATTTTGTTCCACATAAAAGTCCTGCCAAACTTGAAACAGTGATCTCTGTTTTGTTATGTTTTATTGAGTGTACCAAACCCACCCTTGGTGAACCACATAAATCTGCCTATGTGCTTTCTTATTGTTCATTATTGTTTCTTCTTTCTTGCATGTCATAACTCATAATACAGACTTGGCAAATATTTTGGGATGGAGGGGGTACAAAGTTTTTAGAAACAGCTATGCTTAAACTCCTGTTAGCTTACTTGCATAAAGTTGACTCCGAAGAGGGGTGCATGGCACCTTTTGCAGATGTCCCTTGCTTTCGTCCAGTGGTTCCAAGGATGACTTCGTGCAAACCGGACTTATTCCAGCTTATTGAATATCTGTAGTCATCCATTACATAAGAGTAACGAGGGAGATCGTTTAACTACATCACACTTAGAGCATCTCCAACAGCTTCCCCAAAATGGAGAAAATGGAGATTTTGGATGTGTTTTTGCTCCAACAGATTCTCCAAAATGGAGAAAGTAGGAGAGAAGGAAAATTTCTCCAAATATGGAGAACTCCCTAAGAATGATTACTTATGGGTGAGAAATAATATTTTATTATTCCCACCAATAGGAGTATTTGAAAATTGAAATTAAATGTCTAGGAGAGAGAAATAACATTGTATTAAATGTATTGAATATTTTAATGATATAATTGATGTATAATCTATAAAATGGGGAATCTATTGGAGAAGAATGTAATATTTTTTGGAGATTTTGATTTTTGACTCTCCATTTTAGAGAAAAATTGGAAAATCCGTTGGAGATACTCTTAAATTCTCAATCACAGCAATCTTACCCGCATGTTAAAGTGGATGCAGCAGTTTCAGCATGGCGAAACACCTCAAGAGGTACTGAAGCTACAGAAAACAATGGCTGCCAAATGCAAAAGAAACATGCATATTTAGTGGGAAATTGTACTAAGAAATTGTTAACGAGTAAATAAAGAAACCAAAGGGTCATTAGCCCAGCAGTACGCGGGTTACTGGTAGATCCCAAACTCCAATAAAGTCAAGGGTTTAAACCTCACAAAGGTGAGGACTGTGCGTGAGTATTTTTTTTAGAAGGGCGTCCTAGGCTATGCCTAGACTAATCCCGCAAATTGTGACTGCAAGAAATCAACCCTGATGAACTCAGTGGCCACAATTGTTGTGTACGCGTGGAATCGAACCCTGGGCAGATGGGATATTCCACCACATTCGGCCTCAACCACTAAGCCACAACCCTTGTGGTTGGTGCGTGAGTATTTGTCATATATAAATATTATATGCAATAAAAGGGTTATCTAAGCACCTTACAACCTTATTAACTTTAAAAGGACTTGTTAGTTTCTTCGATAATGGTAGAACTCTATCACTCAAAGACCTTCTCAACTGCTCTTCTACTTCCTTATCAGAACAATTACGGGATTGCCCGACAGTTATTGATGAAATGTAAACTGGCTGTAGAAAATGAGAAAGTAAAGCCCCTGCAAAAGGTAAAAGAGGTTTCATTCAAGTTGTGTCATGGCTACAATACCCAAAAGTTCAAATGATCTTGAAAGGAGGCAAGTTTGTTATAGCATGGAGTAAACCCAATGTTCAAAATGGCATGAGGCGTGGCGTGGCGGCGACCTCAAGCCTTAAGCCTTACACGCCATGGCGAGGACGCGACGTTTTTAAAGGTGTGACATAAGGCGGCAAATTTGTATATTATATATTTTTTCTATATACTATTCAATAGTATAATGATACTAAAAAATTTACCTTCATATAAATTAACTAGTTTTATATAAAAAGTTTGTGATCAGATATTCAAAATAGAATTCAAAGAGTTTTACAACTTTGTTTGATCGTGAGTCTGTGACATGTATGAATCCAAGAAACTGTGAGTGATGTGATTAACTGAGTTCGTAAAAATATAAAATCTAAAACGTGAGCCATAGCGTGAGCCACGCCTTACACAAACGCTATGGGCCTTATCTTAACAGCGGAGACACGTCTTATGCCATGGCACGCCATGGCGCACTTTTTTGAACACCGGGTAAACCAAACAAACCCAGTATATCCCACCCAAAGGTGTGGTATGGAGAGGGTGAGTTGTACACCTCCACTAAAAGAGCAAAGCCGTTGTTTGCGTGAAGACCCCAGCTAATGCATAGTGTGGAAAAAGAAGAGATACAAATTTGATGTTTATAGACCTATAAAACCAAATACTTTTATGAAAACGACTGATTTATAACCTAACCAAACTACTTGGGAATACAGAAATTACCAATATTTTGTAACGAATCAAAATATATATAGAACAATATTTTTTTCAGGAAAAAACAATCACATGAAGAAAAGAAATTCTGGGGGAACTGATGTGTTCCCACATTCACAAGTGCGACAAAATGCCTTTTTTTATCTTGTATGCAATTGTATGATACTAGATGATGGATTTAAATTCATTAATAGGAAAGAGAAAACCAAGAAGCAAAGTGAAGAGAACATTTTGATATTTGTGTTCACGATAGTTCGCCTATGTTTCAAAAGAATTATGACTGTAAATCTGTAATAAAGAGAAATGCACACAACTTATCTTCAAGCCTGCAAGTGTTGTTGTTATCAGATACCAGTAAAAACAGAAGCCTAATAAGCATTATTAGGAAGATGTATATCATCTTTTCCTTAACTAAGGTTAGTAATTTATATAAACAAGGCAAATAAATTTGTAAAATTTGGTATAAAAGTGTCACCTAATTGTACTGGTGACCAATATTTGGGTATAGTAAAGAGTATAATGACGAACCTTGGACACCCACAACATTCCAACGGGAAATTTTATCGGAACAGCTCACTGACAAAGTTGCATCGCCACGACCAGGTTTCCTTTGAACAGTGCCAATGACCTGTGAACAATCACCTATAATAGAAATCTGATTAGCACACCCATGCGATCAAGGGATATTCATCAAAGAACTATTTATAACTTATTTCCTTGTTATGGAAATATATTTCCAACAATCATGTTATTTGTAGATACATATACCTACAATCATGTTATACGAGTCGGGTTCAAACGAGCACAGTGACCAAATAAGAGACACGAGAACGGCCAAATCACAAGTAATTTTACTCTAGAATCACATGTGATTCACGGGACTTTGGCCGCGACCTCAGTCGCATGCTCACCCTTTGTGTTGACCGTGTTCAGTAATCACATGTGATTTCAGTGCAAAATGACATGTGATTTGGCCGTTCTTGTGTTTTTTTTTACTGCATAACATTGGACTATTTGTGTAGCTTATCACACTGATTTCCTAACCTTATTCTTGGTGCCAGTTACTCCAGCACCCTCCCCCTTGGATGTTCAATTATAATTTTGGAAGAAAAAACAAATAAGTAATTATTTCATCATGTCAAAATAGCTTACAAAGATGGGAGTTTGGAGATTACACTAGAAATTATTGAACAATAAAATCTTGTGTCACTGAAAATATGAAGAGATCATAGTTGCACTATAGAATTACCGTTGTTCTTCATGGACGACTCTAAGAATTCCTCCATAAGATCATTCAGTTTGCTTGTTGAAGATATTGAACAACCTTCTTTCAGTGAACTATTCAAGCAAGGAAAAAGCTGTGAATTGAGAGAAGCATCTCCACCTACAAGAAATTGAACACAAATATATGAGAAAGATTAAGCAAATTGCTTAAGTTCATACAAACAATCATTTCAATCATACAAATAGCAGAGCCCCCCAAAAGGTGAAATGGGAGACAATAAGCTTACATGGCAATTGTGATATGTATAAATGCAATTGCCAACCCGGCCTCATCTTGTATTTTCCATTGCCGAAACCTCCTGCCTCCTGATAGAAAATGGAGTCTGTGGCAGATCCAACTGGAAATTGAGCACTACCCTTTTGAATCTCTGAGTAGAAGTACCTGGAAAGTTCATAAAAAAATTGAGCCAGTACTGTTCAAATATTGCTATATATTTCTGGAAAATTTACAGAAATAGCTGTAACATCCAGGCAAACCATATCCATACATTTTCCGCTTTGTCCACACCTGGACTCACGGTTTTAAAACGCGTCTAGTAGAGGAGGTATCCAGTCCCTTATAAGGCAACCTTAGTTCCCTCCCCAACCAATGGGGTATCTTACAATAGCCAATCTGCCAAAGGGGTTTCACTTTTTAGCCATTTTCAGACCTCATTTCACTTTGTAGCCAATCCGTATGCATGTGTTGGATTGGTTTTTGGCAAAAAAAAAGTGGAATCCTTACGCAGAAAATGAAATCCCTATGCAAAATGTAGAATCTTTAAGCAGAAAGTGGAACTCTTAAGCAAAAAGTGGAATTCTGCGTATTTGAATTGACTAAAAACTGAATTGAGGTCTGAAAATGGCTATAAAGTGAAATGAGCTTGGGAGATTGGCTATTTCTGTAAATTTCCCTATATTTCTGCTAAAACGATTTTTAAGTGTTTTGTTTCTCGCTGAACTTCAACGTATGGTTAGCATCTAATTTGGAAGATTGAATTCAATTAGGAAGAAGAGAGTATGCATTGAACAGACTTTAGTTTCAATTTGACATTTTGAGGTGTGCTTACCACCCATGCCACTATGCATTTACTCCAAATAGCTTGTAATACCAAAACAAAACAAAAAAATCATCTAAAGCAAATGATGGAAACAAAATAAAGTCAGTAGATGAATAGAGATGCATCAACTACCACTGCAACTAATTGCTGTTTCTCAGCTAATAGAAGTGTTTATGGTTGATATAGAAAATATAAACTCTTTGATTATTATCATAAGTGAGTATCTCTAACTTGAAAAAGAAAGCAAGTTATAACATACCAGTTTTTATACAACAATCCAATTCCCAATTTGCCATATCAACCTTAATGAACTAAATCAGTCAGTCTACTGTCTATATTACTCAAATCACTGCACATACTCACACAAAAAGATAGATATATTGAGTTGTTTGATCAAGACTTGTACTTCCAGATGTCTGCTTTGATGTGGAAATTTTAACAAATTTTAGCAACATTTTTTACTTTGCAGTAATGTTATAAAGATTTATATAGTTGCATTCTTTTTTCACGAAAAAAAAAACAAAATTACAATTTAATTTTGAAGTTAATAGTTGTATGTTTGACTAGGAAGGTCAAATTTTATCTCTACTCTTGAAAAAGAGGTTTAAAACATACTTCCTTCATGAAGAGTAGTCAGAATTTATCATTTGAATATAACATCAATAGGGTCAAGTTCAAGGGGAAAACGCAACAAAAAAAATTGAAATTTTGAGGAACACCCTAGTACCGTTCATCTAGACAATATGCACATGTGCATACAAGTAACTTGTAAGCAATTTATCCGATATGCACATGTGCATAAAAACCAAAAAACAGCTTCAAGTACTTGTATGCACATGTGCATACCGTCCAGATAAATGATTACCAGGGTGTTCCTCAGTTTTTCAATTTTTTTGGGTTTTCCCCTAAGCCTCCTTCAACATCAACAATAACATATCTAGCAGGAAGAATGCATTAAACTGCATACGGTTCGAAAGTGCTATGATTCAAAACTTTATGCGACTGAAAACACAAATAGAGATGTCAAATTAACAACCAAAGTCCACATACCTTACTAAAGCTCTTCTAGCTACAATTTCAGCATGAGCATCATTCAAAACATCACCAGAAACACTAAGACGAGAACGCCCAATGCATTTGGTTCCTGTCCCCATTGCAACCACCTTCAACTCTGCAACACAACACAGAAACACAAAAATTCACAAAATCCATCAATTCAACTTCAAAGGCGAACGTCAATTCCCCAAATTTCGTAATTCAGGTGAATCCTCCACTAAAACCACTCCTACTACACTGTAATTGATAAGATAATGAAATTAAAAAAAGTAAAATTGAATGATTTTTGTAGCAATTTTGAGTTTTCGAGAGAATTGGGGAGTAGAATTACGACCTTGAGAAGGGGAAGAAGTAAGGAATGCGGCTAAGACGGTGACTTCACGACCTTGAGGCTTTCCTTTCTTTGGGAGACGGTTGTATGCTGAGAAAACCGTCTGTGAAACCTTCTCTCCCCATTGTTTCTTCTCCGGCGACGGTGAACTCATTGGCGCTCCGGTAAGATGGAGGGAAATGAAGGGCAATGGAATGGATTAACTTATTGATAGAGTTTTCGAAGAATCTATATATATGGATAAAGTTACAAAAGTAGTCCCTATACTATTTCTGTATAGATAGATTTTGTCCTTTAAGAATTTTTTATTTACATTTCTAGTCCTTGAATGAAAACCTTTCATTTCAATCTAAGTGTAAAGAAGTCATGTGTGTGTATACCTCTTTTTGCGGGGTAAAATAGTCCATTTCGATTAGGCCCAACAAACACGACTATGTAAAAACTGATTGTGAGATCATCAGTTAAGACTAGGTCAAATTTTCGATCTTTTTTCGTACCGAATTTTTTGATTCAAACAAGATAAAGTATGGAACAGGACAAATCTATTGGATTTAAGTACTTTCAGTGTGATTGTACAATGGATATCTAACTCGTTATGTGAGTCGACTAATCCTAGCTTTGTAGTTAGCCCAAAGTCACTGCGTTTGAACCTTCGTGGCCACAAATGGATTTTTATTTCTCTTTAGATTTGAACTCAAGACCTCTAGGTACTTTTGACCTTTGGAGCCTAAGCTCAAACCATTAGACACCACTCTTGTGGTTTCTTCCATGCTTTTTGAAGCAATGGCGGCACTTTCTAGCATGCTGACGGTTATGAAGTTACTTTTTGGTTCCATGTCAATTAACACATGATATTATGGTATGCCCGATATTTTTCCTTATTTATACTATATTATAAAGCATTTGACAAAAACTCTTAAAAGCTATTTTTTTTATACATGAAATACTGTTTTTTAAGGTATATTACTTAAAATTCAAGATTACAAGTAAATTGTGTATAGGTATAAATTATTAAAGCTTCATATTTAATTTGTGTAATTAAGGGGGTTGTTTGATAGTTGCTGAATGGTTGATGCAGAATTATTAAGTGTTTATGATTGAAAATCAAATTACAAATTCACAATAAAACATAAGGGGTTGATAGTCCCGTCTGCTAGGCTTTTCCGAACTTCCCTTCGCGAAGCGCCCGTTTGAAGTGGCGAAGGCCTATTTTTAAGTGTATTTGATTGATATAATTAGATATTTTAAATTGTATTAAAATAATATTAAAGTATTTTTAAAAACTTATCAAAAAGAAATATAAAAAGAAAATGTTTTTTAATATAGGACCGGTTTGAACCCGCCTGGGGCCGGTTACCGTAACCAGTTACAAGTACCCTTAACTAGAGATGGCCATTTATAACCGGCCCGGCCCGTAACTGACGGAGGCCCGAAACCGAGTCCGGCTCAAGAACGTAACCGACCGGGACCGGTGGTAACCGGTTAAGGACCGGCGGTTACGAACCGGTTAGTGTTTTTAAGCAAATCTGGGACCGGAACCGGTTACGAAACCGGTTATGGGCCCGGCCCGGCCCGGTCAACGAAAAAAGTCAAAAAGTCAAACAAGCCGTTGGACTCCCTTATGACCGTTTTTTTCAATCTTCTTAGCTACCAAAACATATAGAAATAGAGATGGGAGTTCCTTAGTTAGTTACCAACTCATCTTATCTTCAAAAACGCAAAAAACGCTATCAATTCTCGGTTTTTCGCTTCATTTTTTGAATTCGTTACGTATTAATTTCTCATTACGTATATATAATATATAACAAAACGTATTTATAATAAAACATATTTATAATAAAACATATTAAAAATAACATATTTCAAAGATATTAATAACATATTATAAATTTATTAATTACCAAAAAAATAAAAAAAATAAAAAAAAAAAAATTTTCAAAGGACCGGCCGTAACCGGTTATGGGACCGGAACCGGGACCTGTCGGCTTAAGCGGTTATGGGCAAGCTTGACCGGTTATAAAGTTTTTCATCGGGACCGGGACCGGTTATAGAGGGACCGGTTATAGACGGTTTTTGTCACGATTAGGACCGGCCGTAACCGGTTAAGGCCCGGCCCGGGACCGATTTTTGGCCACCTCTACCCTTAACCGGATCTTAGTATTTTTGATGTAATCGTTTCCGGTCCGGATTATTACTGTTTCAGCCCATAACAACACGACCCATTGGAAATTGATATCTTAGATAGGGCTGGCATTATGGCCCATGAATATAAAATATTTTGGGCTTTTATTGTGCCAAACTTCTTTTATTTATATTTGTTTTATTGTATTTATTAATTATTTTAAATAACATTTATGTCAAGGTCTAAATTATTTTCAAAATATATATTTAAAGGAAAATTGATTTAAAAATATATTAATACAAATCTCAGTATTTAATTATCTATCTATACTATATTATAAAGCATTTGATAAAAACTCTTGAAAACCATTCTTTATGCATGAAGTACTGTGTATTAATATATACTAGAAGCGTACTCGCGCAATGCAGCGAGATACATCGTG